TGATGGAATTAGCTTTGTCCAAGAAGGGCATCCAAAGGCAGGTTATGCAATTCTCAGTACACAGCAGGTCACTGAGGCCAATCCCCTATCCCGAGACCTCTACTGAAAAATCAAAGCTTATAACTTATTTAGGCATTAATACTTGAAAAAGTCAGAAAAGCAAAATATCTATACAGACTACAAATACGCATTTCTGGTGCTGCATTTCTGTGAAGCAATATAGAAAGAAAGGGGCTTATTGACTAACAAGCCATCTCCTATAATACAAAGTAGGAAACAACGATTGTTAGAGACAATATATCTTTAGACTGTCATTCATTGAAAGGGACCCCAGTGAGGCATGCCTAAAGTCTCCTTGGGAAATCAATAGCAGGCTGGTAGACAGACAAGGACAGCCTTACAGTCAGCCCCTCAAGACCCTTGCTTTATTCCCAGTTCCTGACAAACCATTAAAACAGCCTTTCCTTAAGAGACTGAGTAGAAGCCCTACATGGAAAATGGTCACTAAAATTTTCACAAGACTTAATTAAGACTTTACTCCTGTGAAACTCTGGAACACTTGAGACTCCTCTTCAAAACACAATGACCCATAGTTCACTACAGCTTAAACAGATAACTGTATTTACATTCCTGTTCTTAATTAATCCAAATGTGGTAATTTTGCTAAGGTAATGGCTGTCAGGCTTTGGATAATTTATTTAACATCCTTCTTTTTCCATACTGTATTCACAGGAAGTGTAGAAATCTGTCCTGCTCCTTCTCATATTTGGCTTCTACATGCTTAACCTAATAATAAAATTACTTTTCTGACAAATTCACCAAGCTTTCTCCTATTAAACAGGAAGCTCAGCAGTCCTTCACATTTAGACACTAACACTTTTCACATTGTTCTTTTTTTATTTCTTCAATTCAGCCAGTGAGCCACAAGACGCTGAGGCAGTTGGAGAGAATGTTATCCACTGTAGGTAGGAACTATAGCCTTTTTCAATGGGATGTAGTTATACGAAGACAGAGACCTCCACTCCTTCAGCACTTCATAAAGAATTATGAAGATGGACATTTCTCAGGGGAAATGAAACAGTAGATTGGGGCCTGGAAAATTGACTAGAGAAGTGGGCATGATCTGTTAGTTACAAAGTTCCAGGACACATGCACCGAACAGTTAACAAAACCCTACTTGTAGACCCCATCTCCTTTCTCATGAAAACATGAGCAATTTTGGATACAATAGTTTAGATCTGATGTCAGTCTTAATGAATGGGAAATAGGAAAGAACAGTCACCACTGAGTTCTGGTCTACTGTGTTCTTTTACAGTATTATTCTCTTGTGCTGTATTTTTTTTTATTACCGCCATCCCAGTGAGTCTGATGTGGTATCTTATTGTCGTTTTGATTTGAATTTACCTAATGACTAATGATATTAAGTATAGTTTCATGTGTTACTTAGCTGTTTTTAAATTGTTATATAAATGCTTATTTAAACCCTCTATCTATTTACAGCATCTATCTATGTTTTGTAGTGCTGATTACCAAATCCCAAGTCTTTCATATGATCAGAAAAAACAGAATTTGATGAGTTAATGCTAGGGTTAATAAATTACTATTTATTATTTTTATTCTGTTCACTATATGTTAGGGAATTCACTTACATTTGACATAGAACATTTAATTTGATCCACACAGCAAGTCAATAAGCAGAGTTCTTGTTATCTTCATTTTACAAATGTAGAAACTACAGATATTTTAATTAAGTTTTCTACTATTATGTAGTAAGTATAAAAGAACAGAGGTTATATTTAGACCCAGGTATCTTATAAGTCTGTTGCTTATTTTGGTGACCAGATGTCTCCAAAGGCTTAGTATTTATTAAATTTAGAAGAACCACATAATTGAATAAATGAATTGACTGTAGACAAAGGCCTCATCAGTTAACAGATATGGCACGTGGAGGTTCACACCCAAAATTTCGAGTCCATTTCTGTGGGGAGAGTCTGGCCAAAGGACTGATCAAAACGTGTATGATAAGCAAGGGACCTTGGAAGTTTCCTAGAATGTATGATTAAATTTAAAGCAGATTTATAGGGCAATAGTCAGCAGAATTGACAATAAATTATTCTCAGAGACATTTCCTTTTTCCATTGTCTCCTCTGTCCCAAGAAAATTGTTTAAACTAGGTCACCATGTGTCACATAACAAACCACCCCATTTTTCCCCTGTCCCCTGACCAAAACACCTATAGAATAGCTACCAACTTACAAACAAGTTCCTTTTTGGAAGAACTTTCATAGTTTTATTCCCATATAAGTTCACAATCAAATGTTCATAAGTTGGGAACTTACTGTACAAGTGTTACAAATGTCTGTCTTCTATATCTTCGTTATGTCCCTGATTACGAATAACTACAGTGGTCTCAACTTGTTACTGTTTCCCTGAGGCTTTCGTATGGAGAGGCTGTCTCTCTGGCCCTGTGTGTAATTGAACTAAATATTATTTCTAATCTTTACATGCTTTATGCCACCATGATTCCCCACTGACATATTTCCATGATTGTGAGGAAGCCTATACTCTAATGATGACCTCCACATGTGTTCTTGACCCTCACCTTGATCCAGTTTCTCCTCCTGATTGGATGCACACTGATCCACTCTTCACTCTGCTAATTTTATTCATCATTTAGATGTTAATATTTTCTCAGACATGTCTTCTCTAATCCGTCAAATAACATCATATCCCTTTATTTTTCTGTTATAGGACCTTCTACAGTATAAAATTATGCATTCATTTGTGCTAGTCTTTCTACATTACCTGCTAGACAGTAAGCTATAATAGGTCAGGAATCATGTTAATATTATATCATCATAGTGTCAGACCCAATAATGGGTCAAAGGATCATTGAATGAGAAAAGGAGAAAATATTTAATGAAGTCCAAACATATACAAGTTATATATAAAGTCTACCTACCTGTTCATAAGGAGTTGGCAAATTTGTATGAGGAAATAAGATCTCACAAAAAATATGAAGCAATTAAAAAGGACAGTTCCAAAAGATTGGTACAAATTGTAAGTACTGGTAATTCAGAAACAAGAAAGAATGTTACATCTTAAAAACTATATTTTTAAAATAAAGATCCTCATAATTTTTTTCTTTATTGGATTTTTATCTATTATATATCCATGGTGAAGGAGTAGAGATTGATTGTTTTTGGAAGGTATTCTGATTACATGAAGTCAGTTATTAATTTTTATGAAATTAAAGATCTAGTATTGTATCTTTAATTTCTATAAATAGTAAAATAAATAGTATAAATTATATTATATCTTTTGTTCTATAAATATGCGAGTTTCCTTTTTTTTTTTTTTTGGCTGGCTCAGAATGCCTTCAGGGCAGGTTCGGCTGGCTTGAGTTCTGGGAATCGAACCACAGCAACCTGAGCCTGATGGCTTTGTTGAAGCAGGAACTTAAAGAGCTGAGCTAAGGGGCAGGCCCCCTCAAGTTTCTTAAAGTAAAAATAAACATATGTTGGAGAAAAACTACTTTTCTAGTAAGGCATTCTCTAGCACTTTATTTAGTGGGTATTGGCGAAGGCTATTAACTGTGTACCTCTCGTGAGACAGCTTTTCACGGGTACTTCTGTTGGTATCATCTTGGATAAGTCCCAGACACATATATTCTAAGGTTTAGAATGGTGAAAGTCTCATTTTCTCCATTTTCTTTACCTGGAAATGAAGGACTGAATTATGTACTTTCAGATATCTTTAAATTCTTTTCCCGAAAATAAGCACATAAAGAGTATCAGTTGGGTAGTAATTCCCAGTGTTAAATAAGTTGCCCGGTTTTTTAAAAAAAATCTGCGGTTATTTTATGAGGGATTCCAGTTGTAAATTTTATGTAGAGTATATACTTAGGTTTGATACTTTGTGGTTCAAATGCTTATCAAAGTTTTGATGTTTTAGCCCACTTTCATCATGTAATGCAAACTTCTTGGCCTTTAGCTTTGTGATTTTAACAAGAATTAATAAACATTTTCTGAATACTTAAGTGCTAGGCACTGTACTAGGCACAGAACATACATAATACACGATTGTTGTCTTCAACACGTTGGGTGAATTGGCCAAGGAAAATCTGCGCTACCAGGGCAAGTTAGAGGAATTGTGATGAACCAGTTACAATTCACAGCATTTTCCTACTTGTAGAATTTCCTAGTACAAAATAAAAACACCCTGCCTTTCATACGAAGTAGAAGAGAGTATTCAAGATATAACAGGTCACACTGTAAAACCAATAAACAGGGTTGAAGATTTGTTTGACCAGAGGCAAGAAAACAAGCAGGGAAGGCAAAGCAGAATTTTTTTCTTTAAAGTAGTGATAATGGCGCCTCTGCTAAACCTCACGGGCTACTATACTGCCACTGCGCAAAGCTTACTTTTTTCTTGAAGGACAAATGTTATACAATAGCGTTGCTAGGGACGGTCCACTGTTTTAATACTCAAATTTAGAAATGCGATCACATAGACTGGGAACTTTCCTAAGGGCTTGAAGTCCTCTTCCCCTCTCTCAACTCCAGAGAACTTCTTGTAGGAGGGTTTCGTTTCTGACCAAGAGATTCTAATCATTTTATTTTAGGCAACCTTTCTTCGCTACAAGTCCAAACCCGACAATCCTTTCTCCACAACTTCGAGTCCTCCCTCTTCCTGCCAGCTGGCGCCAGGCGCGCTCTCCTTCCAGTGACAAGCGCGAGCTGTCGATTCATAGGGTTAGCCAGGGACACGGGGAATTTTCGATTGGTTTAGACAGGAAGGCGGGAGAGAGGTGTGCCGCCGCGTCACAAGCGCCGCGGTCCCCTCCCCGCACAGAATTATGGGAGGGAGTGGGCCGGGGAGGCGGGCTGTAACCCGGAATGACACTGGCCGATTCGGACCTTCCCTCGGGAGAGCTGTCTCCGCCCACCAGCCCCGCGAGTCCCGCCCCCGGGCCCGCCCTCGCGCGGGAATCAGGTGATCGCAGGCTGGCAGGTCACGTGGCCGGGGCGCACCGCCCGTTGTGGCCATGGAGGCCGCAGTTTCGAGTGTGGTGAGGCGAGTGGAAGAGCTTGGTGACTTGGCTCAGGCTCACATCCAGCAACTGAGCGAAGCCGCGGGTGAAGACGGTGAGGGCGCGGTGCCAGCGCCGCGGGCGGGACGAGGGTAGTTCCGCTTGGCGCTGGACGTCAGTGAGGGCTGCGGGCTGCGGCCTGTAGCTGCGACCGCGGCCATGGCGGTGGGGGTGGGGTCCCATGTCGGCGCTGTCCGAGGTCTTCCTCCTCTGACCCCCGACTGCGCCCTCCTTTGCCCTCCCTTCAAAACTCACGTTGCCAACACGTCGCTTTGTAAGCCATATTTTTCCCAGCTCTTGCAGTCTGTCATGTTTACACCTGATCCAGATGTGTGCTGTCGGATATAGCCGTGTTGGTAACGATTGGGGACAGTGAAACATTTAAGTTACACAAGAGCGTTTAAATAGATGGTTAACGTAAGTGCGAGTGCCCAAGCAGGTAACGGCGTACGAAAAACGTAAATGGTACAGTTCCATGTTTTCAATACTGTGTTGTGAGTGATCACTTTATGTTTTAGATTCAAAATTCAATTGCAACCCATATTCTTAAGGAGTTTTACATTGGTATACTTTAGGATTCTTTGATATGCATCATATTCTCATAAGGTCTGTATTAGAATACTTGATTTAGAAAGCGCTGCGCTGTCCTTAGGAAACCCGAACTTGGGAATTGCCACGTCCTTTTGACTTCAAATCCGTATCTCTCTTCATTTCTCAGCTGCCTCTAGGTTCTACCTTACTGCGTTTTGAGTTTTGTGACTGTACTGCAGATAAGTTTTGACACTCATGTAGACTGACTCAGGTGTCATCACACTCACCAAAGAACAGTAGTGAGATAGTGTCCCAAGTGATCAAATAGTTCAATTTATTGAATAGTGTTGTGGGATAGGGCCTATGATGAAATGAACTCATTTAATGGAAGATTGCGGGATTGCCTCTTCCCAGGAGTATGTTTTTCAAAGACCAAGAGACTACATTGAAGCCAACTTGTTTTTTAGTTTGTGGAAAGTGAAACATGGGATATACATGAATGGTTAGTTCATAGATAGTACTAGTTATTATCTGGAAATGTAGCCTACTTACCTCTGAGTTCAACTCTTGAATCAGTTGAGAGATCAAAGAATACTTTTTGCTCACTTATCACTGAACTCAAAATCTGTTCATATTTTCCTTTGGAAGAATTCTTTAATCCAGTCTAGAATGAGGCCTGGAAGTAAGTCAGGTTTTGTATACTTGTTTAGAGGCTTTATATGCCTGAAATTTTGCTAAAATTAAATTATGATAGTAGCTCTATATTTTTAGCTATTAATTGGTATTGAAATCAATCTTACTAAAGTAATAATTTTTTGACTTTTAATTAAAACAAAGTTGCATGTATTTGAGTTAAATTTGGCATTCTCTTCCATACAACAGAAAGCATACATTCAAATATTGTTGTTTGATGTAACAAGTTATGCTTATAATGTGTTGTAGGGAGTCTTCTATTGTTATTTTAGATCAGATTGGCAGACATTATTTCACTTAATACGCTTTTTTTTACTGCTGGCTAATTTTTGTTCACTTCATCTTGTAAAAGCATAATATGTTTCCAGTATGCGGATATACTGTGAGATTTACCCTAGACATTATATAAAAATGACTTTGATCTTTTAAGTTGTTAGTCATGACTTTGATTAAATATTTCTAATAGAAATATTGCATTTTTGGATTTTTCCAAAATGAGATCTGCGTCACCATGTAATCTGCCCTATAGTGAATTCAGACACATGCTCTTCATCAATGATTTAGTGAGTTCAGTGCAAGTCTTTACACTTAGAATGATTTCTCAAGAAAGTAGTAGCAAAGTCTCTAAGCACATAAAGAGTGCAATATTTGATACACTTTTGGTTCACAGTAAAATCTTTTCTTCTGGGTTGTACAGTTGTTATTTCTGGCTTGAGGGGACATAGGGAAACTTCTAAGAAGTATGTTTCAGTTTAGGTGAATAAAAGCATTACAACAATAAGCATTAGGTGAAGGTACAAGAGTCTTTAGTGCAAAAACCTAAGATTTTTATGTGTTACATAAAACGATGTTTTTGCCTTAATGTAGAACAGCTGTCTTTGTTTTACTGAAGAGGCTGAATTAGATGAACCCATGACAAGTTATTTGTCCATTGGCCTACGAAGAGGAAAAGGTTTATATTTCAGAGGGGAAGCAGAGGAACATGCTGAGGGATTTTAGCATCTTATACTATAGTAGGCATATCTAAATACTACATGAGGACATGCAGAAGCTGAAATGATAGAGGAAGGTGTAGAGAAAGTGAAAATATTAGGTGACAGTGAAAGGGAGATGGAGTGTGTTCTGATTAGTGGGCATATGAGCTATTTTGTGCCTTCCAGTTTTTTAAGAAATGAAACGATTTTTTCCATTTCTAACTTGTAAAGGACTAAAATACGAGCATTATGTAATTACAATTGCTACAAGCGTGATAAAGTTATAACTGCTCACAATATTGATATTTTATGAAACATTTGATTTAGTCAGTCATATTCTTTTAGGGAACATTTGCAATTACATTTATAAGCTTACATGTTTCCAGGGGAAATGCTTTCTGTAGCTTTATGTAGAGTATTCTTACTATTTCCATAAAAGATATATATATATATATATATATATATATTATTTAAACATTTGGAATGCACTAGCATTATAAAAGAAGCATTAAGAAAATATGAACTGAATTTAAGAACTAGCAATAGTAGAAACAAAAAGTCTTGAGTGTTTTTGGAAAAATTTCTGTGATAACTATGCTTAATGACAATTAAGAATTGGTATATTTCATGCTTTTTCTTTCTTTTGTATTTTAGGGAAGGGTCTACAGGGTGTTCAGGGTCTCACTACTAGATAGGACTCGTAGTGATTCGCCTGTTTAAAGCCTCCCAAGAGCTGGGATTATAGATGCCCAGTCTCAGTCGCTGTCTCAGTGTGCCCCGGGGATGGGGCCAGCATGGCAGGCCTGGGGATAGAACCCTGGACCCCTGCACCTGCTTGCAGGTGCTTTAGTGTGCTGAGCTATTTGGCTGGCCCTAAACATTAAGCACAGCTGCTTATATTATTTTTATTTGCAGTACTGGGGATTGAACTCAAGACCTTGCACTTGCCAGGCAGGCACTTATGCCACTGAGCTATCCCTCCAGCCCTCATGCTTTGGCTAAGATATTATTGTGTTATTGTTTCTCCATATATCATAATTTTGCTTTATTGTTTCAGATACACAACTTTGTTTAAATGGCAGTCAGTATCTATGTGAAATAATCATCATATTTTTATTTTTTAAAGATCATTTTTTAATTCGGGCCTCTGCAGCTCTAGAAAAGTTGAAACTCTTGTGTGGAGAAGAGAAAGAATGTTCGAACCCATCCAGTCTTCTAGAACTTTACACACAGGTACAGAAACAGATGGAAACACTGACATTTTAAAATGTGATCAGTTTGTATACTGTATGTTTAAAACATTTAGACTTGAAACTTTGAGGCAGTAGCTTAAAGGTTGAGATATATTAGTTGTGTTGATAGGAGTCCAGAAAAATATCTTTTTGTGTGTGTGTGTTCCCAGCTCAGCCCACCCTGTGGGTGGGGCTGGCATGGCAAGTGATGCCGGGGATGGAACCGTGGTCCCCTCAGCCTGCCTAAGCTTGCCTAAACAGGTGCTTTAGACCATTGAGCTATCTCGCCCGCCCCAGAAAAATATCTGTGGATAACAGAATTGTTTCCCTTTATGCATAATTAATTAGAACACTAACACATGCTATGTTTTAAAGTCTTGAAGGTTCCGGAAGGATTAGGGGACTCTTAAATGCCCTGACCTTTTTTTTCTGAAATTCATTTTTCTTTGGATTCTCAATAAAATTCCTCTGTGCAAGTGTTGCACACATTCATATTTTTTTGTTATTTATTTCTTGTACTTTGCTTCCATATTGAGGCCTGTGAGTAGACAACACCTGTTTTCTTAGTTTTTGCAAATACTGCTGAGGAAATATGACTTTAAGAAATAAAATTTCATTATGGCAACCAACATTTATATTGTACTTTATAGTTGATAAAGTGCTTTCATTTATCCTTTCTTTATTGCTAAGGACAATAAAATTGCAATGGTTATAGAAATAGAGTACCTAATTATTTCCAAAGCACATATTTATAGCAGGTGCATATATATGCTTGGGGCTGTAATTTCTGCTGGAAGGTACTTCATAAAGATGGTTTCTACCTCTAGAGATCATGGATGAAAGATCCTGTAACAGTTATTAACCTCTAAAAACTGCTATAATTTGGTGGGTAGTTTGTCTTTTTTTTCTCATCTATATATGGTAGATGTCCTTTCTTCAGTTTAGAGTGTCTTAAACATTTTAACTTGTTCTGAAGAATAAAACAAAATATCTGGATATACAGATTTTTTGAAATCCCTTGGACCCTACAAATGATTTAGAGCCAACAGATCAACTTCCATAGGCTACTGATCTCTTTTGTGACTTTAGGCCTTCCATGCATTAACATGTCCACTTTAATATCACTGTGTGCTGTGTAATGTTTCAAGTACTTTATTTATATTGATTCATTTTTTTCTCAAAGCATGGAATTTGAAAGGCATTAGATCAATTTATCATTTTATCATTGAAGAAACCGAGGTCCAAAAAAGATACTACGGTTAAAATTGTTCTTGGTTAGGGAGGATGGTTAGTTTTGGAACTGATACTAGACTTAACTTTTGTCTTGATCTATTTGATTAAAAGAAGATTGGAAAAAAATAATAAATAAAAAACATTGGGATGATTTAATATGCTTGACCAGAGCATGGAATATATTTAGGACTGTTGGAGCCTTAGAGTTTGAACTCTATGATGATATGCTTCCTGTTGAGTGTCAAGATATGTGTCTGTCAAATAACTGGTTGTATATTTAAGAAAATGAATTCTCTTGAGGATTCAGTATATAAAACTAGAGTTGCTAATCTTATTTATTACTGTACGTATTTAGAAAAATTTCAGGAATTATATGTGTATAAAGAGCAAAACATGTTTCATCTTTCATAATTGTATTAAACATGACTAATGTGTTTATTAAAACAAATTTCCATTGTAGTTCTTGAGAGAAACAAGATAATCATAATCCAATATTGTAGTAGAACATTTATGAAGTTTTCTATAATGCACATCTGTAATTGTATTTACAGTTAGTCATTTTGCCTACTTGCTAAATTTATATAACATGCATAAAGATTTGAATATCTACTAAAGCATCTATACATACAAAGTTAGACTCTTTAGAGATTGTTTCAAGTTTAAATCATTTGTAGATGCTTTTTATCTCTTCAGGCTATTTTGGACATGACATATTTTGAGGAAAACAAGCTGGTAGATGAAGATTTTCCTGAAGACTCTTCTTTGCAGAAAGTGAAAGAACTGATCAGTTTTCTTTCAGAACCAGAAATTTTAGTTAAAGAAAATAATCTGCATCCAAAAGTAAGTTTGCACAATGAATTATGGGGGAATACTGCTAGTTCTTGTTATCTTGCTCAGGCTTCTTTTTTCTTAAATTTTTTTTTTTATTTCTGTTTTAAGATTGAAAGAGGGAAATAAGAAACCTTAACACTGCAGACCAATGTCACAGCACAGGATCATATTTTACTAAATATTTTTGTAATATTCACATACTAGAACAGTGTAGTACCTAACCATTTTCCTTTTTTTGTTTGGAGTTTTGTTTTATTTTTATTTTTTGAGATACAATCTTCCTGTGTAGCTCAGGCTGGTCTTGAGCTCATTATGTAGCCCAGCTTAGTCTCAGCTCTCACCAGTCATCCTCAGTTTCCGGAGTACTGGAAATACAGGCATGTACCACCATGCCTATATGTAATCATTTTCCTAACATAGATATACCCTACTTCTCCTACTTTTGCAAGTTCTCCATTTTATAGAAGGTCACTAGTAACCTGATTATCATATCTTCGTTCCTTTTTACAGTCCTGATCCTCCTGAACATCTGTTGCCTTTTTTACCATTGACCACCCAGTCCCTTGGAGTACCTGCACACTCTTTTCTCTGAGACACCTTTCTTGGTCTTTTCCTGGTGTGTCTCCTCTCCTCCATTCTATAATTATAGGTACTCCCTGAAGGGGTTTTCCCTTATCCCAATACTCTTCCATTCACATGGTTTTTATAGTCATCTCAGATGATTCCCAGGTTTACATCTCTAGTCCTAGACATGCTTTCAAGCAAATAATTTCCAATCTTTAAATATCTAGATATTTTCTTTATCTGTTTATTAGGGAAAACTATGGAAACAAATCATCTACAAGGTAAAGAATTTTGATTTAGTAAAATTATTTTTGTGAAGTTTTCATTATTCTAGTTATCTAATTCTTAAATCAGTATCATTTCAATTAAAGAATATTATTCAAATAACATTTCTAAAACTTTAAAAAATCAGATTACGTACTACATATATTTTGAATGTGTTGAAATATGCTATTGAAGATCTTTAAACACTTTGTAAAACTATAAATTGAAGAGAAATTTCAATTTTAATTTAACAATAGAATTCTGTATTTCTAGTTGATTCAAAGATAGTCATTCTCGTGTATGTAGCAAAACATGGACATGTTTTGTGAAATGAAGGTTTTTGTTTTTAAATTACTCAAGTGTTTCACATTTGCCCATTATAGATTCCAGATTTGTCCTCTTAGTCATGTTTTCTTCATGTTTCAGCATTGCAATTTGCTTGGAGATGAGCTACTGGAATGTCTCTCTTGGAGACGAGGAGCTCTACTGTATATGTATTGTCACTCTCTGACTAAAAGAAGAGAATGGCTCTTGAGAAAATCTAATTTACTTAAAAAGGTAAAAAGACATTTTTTACACATTTAATTATTGACACATTCAATTATTGACGTTTATGGGTTTTAAAATGTGTGTTATATTATTAAAAGTAGTGAAATCAATGAGTTTGGGCTTGCATTGTAGATCTTTGATTTACTAGCTGTGTGATTTTATTTTATTTATTTATTTTTTTTGCACATTGTGATCTTTTTTTTTTTTTTCCAAATCAAATTGGTAGGACAGTTTCAATAATTAACACATTGCATACATTCTTTCTAGTGGTTAATTGCTGGACAAGATGCGGACATGATATCCTATTTACAAACACCATTAGAACAAATCACTCTATTCATTAAGAGAATGTAATTATATATCTAACCTAAACGAATACAGGGATACAAAATGGACATTCATCTGTATACTTTTTTTGTTAAGTTCCGTTACTTGAATATTATAGGTGTGTAAACTCAGCAAAATATTCCAAAAGAGTCCAGTAGCCCATAATAGTATTGGGTCTTCCGCTTGACTGGCAATGTCAGAAATTGTTGACCTGAGTCCCCTACAGCTCAACATAAAAGCATGGCTTTACTTCCTGTATTTCATTCTCATACTTTTCTGCTGGATGGTTAAGACCAAGGTAAAGCAGGACCTATGCAACAAGAGTTGTAACTTTTGGGTCTGATAAGGTCAGTGAAATCCCCTCAGGATTTATCCTGAGATCCTGTACCTCAGATTGTAGAACCTTTGTCAGTGTCGGCCATGTGGATGAGTTATGGCCATTGCTTGGCCAATGTGCTCTCTGTGAAAGCTTGAGAGAATGTTTTCTCTCCATGTGACTCTCCTTAGGCACACTCTACATCATCAATCACTTTCCTCTTTGGCCACATAATGTCCTTGATCATAAAATTTGGGACACAACCGAGTTACATGACGTTATAGTACAAGTTCTCATATGTCCTGAGTCTTAATTGACCTTGGAAGGCTAGGGCCAAAATGTTGGCTTTCCTTGCAGCCCTCCTTTTTCTCTAATTTTGGTCTGCAAACTTAGGTTGTTAACCATCCAGAAGACAAGCTTATTGTTATTACCATACAACTTAGGCTGTTAAGCTTAACCTCACTATCTGTCTACATATCAAACATCTTAGGCATAATATGGAACAGGTGTTTTTCATCAAGTATTGATATGTTGAACTTTAAGTCCCTGCAGAATATGATAAAAAAACATTTAAAAATTAGAATATATTTTAAAAATAGGCATAAAGAATTAGATACTTCTTATGTTTACACATAAGTTCAAAAATCTCACCATATACAACCTTGAAGCAGGACAGTCCTACAATATTTCTTTTCCTGTCTCTTGCTTTCATTCACTACCCCCTTCTTTTTGAACAACCATCTACCTGATGTGTGATTTTAAATAAATTAGAATTGCTATGAAGACTCAAGGTAATATGTGATAGCACTTTGTTATTTGGCATGTTTGTCATGCTTTTTTTAAGTTTTAGATTTTTATTTTTTAAAACATAATGTATGTTATATTAGTTTCTTAGATAATTTTTCTTGACTTGAAGAAAATACTGTGTCATTAGCTTCTCAGTACATCATTCCTGAACGATCCATACGATCTTGACCCTAGAAAATTTTTGCCCTCTGATTTGCTTTGTTCTAAGCAAATCATTAAATCCAAGGATCTGGGTCTTAGTATTGGATCACTGTACATTCTAACCCAGGGTGAACATACATAAAATAAGTAGTCTTTGGAATGAGAAGTAGCACTTTTACTATATGTTTGATTATAATATTTCTAAATTGAAGTATATACATGCTTTTAATTGTTTTAAAGGACTTCTTATTGTAGCTGTTCTGTTTTTCTTAATGACCTCATTACTATTTTTTCTTTTTTTTTTGGTAATGTATTTGGTTGTTGCAGGGTCTCACTGTGCCTCTCAGACTTGTGGTGATTCTCCTGCTTTCAGCTTCCCCAGTGCTGGGATTGCAGGCATGCGCCACCACACCCAGACTCTGGCTGGCTCGGCCTGCCCTAGGGCTGGGGCTGACATGGCATGTGGTGCCAGGGATCAAACCATAGTCCCTGTGCTTGCCTAAGCAAGTGCTTTAGTCCCCTAAGCTATCTCAGTGGCCCAAACATTTTCACTTTTTTGTTTTGTTTTTGCAGTACCGGAGATTGAACTCAGGACTTTGTGCTTGCCACACAAGCGCTTATTCTGCTGAACTATCTCCCTGGCCTGTAGCTGTTCTTTTGTTCCTTTAATATTTTTAATCAATACGTTAGTGAAGCATATTAGCTTCATTTTTGCATACTCATTACTTATATTATGAAAGTCTTGCTATTGTTGAGTCTTTAAAAGCATTGAAATATAATAAACATTCTACTTATAAATAGAAAAATATACTATTTGAAGTTTATGTAACTCTGCATATATAAAACTTTCAATTCTTCGGGTTTTTTAGTACCTTGTCGATGGGATCAATTACTTGCTAGAGATGCTAAACTACCGGTGTCCTATCCAGTTAAATGAAGGAGTTTCTTTCCAAGACCTGGACACAGCTAAATTACTGAGTGCAGGTAATGTAATTTCCTTTTAGACTTTTCTAAGTGATATAAAGCTTTTAAAGATTATAGAAAGTTTGTTAGATTTTATTCTGACCTAATAAAATTTTAGATGAGATTATAGCCAAAACATAAAAGATACTTTGCGAAATTAAAAGATTAAAATCTTTTCATATAAATACTTCTAATATCTTTTGATTAATTTTGGGAGAGTTGTGTATCATGTCACTCTTATTTTACATCCTAAGTCAACATGAGCATGACTGGATTAGACCTGAACGTCTATCAGACTAGAAATAATTTCTAAAAAAGTTAGATATTTAGATCTTTTTCACATAATAAAAGCTTAGAACCGATACAGTGGTTCTGTAACATCACTGTGTTCTTGTCTTTTTCTCTATGTTCAGATTTGGAGTTCTTAAGCTTCAGAGGGAGGTAGTTTGTGTATAATACAGTAAAAGTAAATACTTTTAGAGTTGTGCAGCATGATTTGCTATTTAGGATACTGTTTCCAATCTCAGTATTCCTAGATGCTCTTGTAGCCCTGTGACACACGTCTCATCTGTGTTTCAGGCTGTGTTAATGGTAGAAGGGAATTTCTTTCAGCTAGGTTACCTCCCTTACAGCAGTCTGTTTCTGACAACCTACATGTCATGGGCCAGAGTTTATCAGATGACTTCACCTAGTGAGGAAAGTTGTGGGGGACATAGTCCTAACTTGATACTATATCATCCCAAGTTAAGGTTGTATACCATTATGGAGGAAGCACATGAATACTGGGTGGCACCTCTTAAGTTTCTGCCATAGACATCTTTGTACTTAAAATTCTGGGAACTGGATTTGAAGCAATTTTTGAGTTTTAGTCTGAAGTGTGAGTGAGAACTTACTCTTACCATCACTTTTGTTGTTTTTGTTTGTTGTGCTGGAGGTTGAACTCACGGTCTTTGTACTGGGCTACATTCTCAGTTCTACATTTTTACTTTTTGAGGCAGGGTCTTACTAAGTTGCCCATGCTGGGCATGAACTCATTGTCTACTTCTTAGCTTTCCAGAGTGGTGTTAAATAAAGCAGGTGTCCTACTCATAGCTGCAGGTGACCCTAGATTACATAAGTAAATATTTTTGCTTATACTTCACCTGAAATTTTTCTGGGGAAAAATATGAGCAATAATAAAACTTCATATGAAAAATTCTATAGATTTATGTATATATTTTAATACTTTCTATTTCTTTGTTAATTTCTCTAGCCTTTTTTATTTGAAAACATTTCTTAAAAGTAAAAAATATATGGGGCTGGGGAGATGGCTCAGTAGAATAAAGGCTTGCCTGACAAGTGCAAGGGTCTGAGTTAAATCCCTGGTTCCACCAAAAAAAAAAGTAAAAAATACAAGGGCCGGCCAGATAGCTCAGCGGACTAAAGCCCCTGCTTAGGTAGACTCAGTGACCGGGGTTTGATCCCTAGTATGCTCTGCCAGCCACCCCTAGGGTACACTGAGATGGCAACTCAGACTGGGTGTAGTGCTGCACACCTATAGTCTCAGCACTTGGGAGGCTGAAAACAGGAGGATCCCAGTGAGACCCTGTACTAAATACATAAAGAATGTAGCTTAAATGTCATCACTATTGGACTAATAATGTTGTACAAAAATTGTTACTTTTATTAATTGAGACAAGTACCTTAAAATACCTTACTCCAAATACAAATAGCTCCTTCAGTGGTTGTGACATTTTTGTCAAACAAGGTACTTTAATGTATTTATGGAAGTATTATATTAGTTATTCCAGGTAATTAGTGAACTAATTAGAGACATTGAAAATGACTTTAAAAATCTCTTTAGCTGACTTACTTGGATTCTATTGAAATCTTAAACTGGGAGGATCACTGTTGAAAAGAAAAAGATGAGGAAGATAATTGAAGACTATTTAGAATAAAAAAACTCACCCAATTTTCTCATTGTCCAGTCCTTTTAAAATGTCAAGGACTCTGTGGCCTGGAATTTTTTTCTTCAGTAGGTATATGGTACTAGTGCCTTCTCTTCGAATATACTTTAAAGTATATTAATTAGCCCTTAGCTTCTGTTGTTTTTCAGAAGGGCAAACAAAAGAGATGTAGTCTTAAGGCATTTTCCAGGGAAAAAGAACACACTGTAGGCACCAAAGCAGTTTTGCCATGCTGCTTACTCAGTCATGCCATCAACCTATTCTTAGCTAAAGAAGGTTGATTTGCCCAGGTCAAGCTCTCTATACATGATTATATTGGGAGTTAGGAAACTGACTTTTCATTGACTGAATTTCTCAAAAGGCCCATAAGAGAGGATCTAGTTTTTTTTTTTTTTTATTAGCCAATCTTAAATATAATCCTTAGTCTAGAGAGAAAAATAATTATTTAAGTTTCAATATTCTTAGTATTTGGATAATTCTAACATTTGAGGATACTAGGTCTGTGTGAAACATCAGACTATTTCTTTAGCCAAATCTTGGCCAGATTTCCCTAATTTTTGGAAGAGCACAGGACAATATATATGCTTATTGTGGTAACTTACAGTTGACAGAAAACAATTGTCCTTTGGACAGTAAATTTTCAGCTATTAAAAATCAATCAATGTGTGCCTAAGCCTTAGTAAATGACCATTTATCTGTGAAGTGGAACCAGAGAATTTTTGGATATAGTCTTATCAGATTAAAGGCCAATAAAAGTAGCCTTGTCCGAATACAACTACTAGAGTCAAGTGGGGTAAATCAAAATGCTGTCTAACTTTCACATCGTTGGTTGTGGCCTCTTTTTTTTTTTCTTTTGTGTATTTGGTTCTCACTATACAGATCTGATTCATGGTGATTCTTCTTTTTCCAGCCTCTCCAGAGCTGGGATCCTCCCCAGAGCTGGGATTACAGGCATGTGCCACCACACTGGGACTCTTGTCACCAGCTCATCATACCACAGGGGCAGTGCCGGCACGGCATATGGGACTGGGACCTAACTCTGGTCCCTACACTTGCCAAAGCAGGTGCTTAGTCTGCTGAACTATCTTGCAGTCCTCCCCCTTTTTTGGTCAGAATTTTGCTATATATTCCAGGGTAATCCTAAACTCACTGTGTAGCCAAAGGTGGTCTCAAACTTGAGATGATCCTTCTGTGTTAGCCTCCCAAGGAGAGGATTCCAGCCCATACTTGTCCTGCTTGTGCCTTTTTATAAAAGAAAAAAGTTGAGGAAAATTCATGAAAGTAGTTTGTATCTTTAATTATATGGATTCCTTATGGGAGTAGAGAAGAAAAGCATACATAATTTAGTTTTTCATCTGATATTTAAACAGAATTCTTTTAGTCCTCAGGATTGAACCTAGGTCCTTCACACTGAGCTGAATCTCCATCGCCTTTTAAAATGTTTTTTGAGATGGGCCCAGGTTGGGCTTGAACTTGCAAACTTTCTGCCTCAGAATTCCACAGTGCTAGAGTTACAGGCATGTGTCATCATGCCTGACTCTGTATTTTATTTTGTGGTACTGCAGATTAAAACCAGGGCCTGACACATGGTAAGCAAGTACACTACCAATTGTTAAGCTACATCCCTAGTGTCCTCTTCCTCAGACAGTTTAATGCTGTAGTTTTGAAAATAACAGTCCATTGACCCCCACCAACAGCAATAGATTCTACAGATTTCTTTAAAAAAAAATATAAACTTATACGTTGTACCCCATGCCTGAATCTGAAACTCCAAGGGAGGGGCATACTAGGCAGCAATTTAGTAAGTCTGCCAGATAATTACAATGCAAGCTAAAATTTGATAAATATGCTTTGGCATATGGCCATTCTTTCTCTAGCAATACCTTAATATACACTGTCTGTGCACTTCAGTTGAGCAGTTGTTCCTCTTGCTCATATAAAAAATGAAACTAACCTAAAGAGTATGACATAAATTAGATCTCCAGTTGCCCTTAAGCAAAACTTCTCACCCCCAGGTCCCTAGATTCACTTGGTGGAACATACTTCACCTTCTCCCCCAAGGAGGTTCTAGTCTGCATGAAAGTTTAACCATCCTTCCAGTTTTACCTCTGTCCTTACTACTGTCCACTGTATTTGTTGTTGTTGCTTGATTGTCTTCAGGAAAAACAGTGGGATCTCACAAATAATATTCAGTGAAATGCCATATCTAATAGAAAATAATTCTGAGTAATATTTAATGCTGTAACTATGTTTTTCTTTGAGGTGTCCTATCTTTTAATTAGGAAGGAACAAAGTGAAAAATACTTTCCTTTGTAATACATGTTGCACTTATTACGTGAATGCTATTTTATATGTATAAAAGTCTTTTCTATGAATGCGAGTCTCGTACTCTCATCTTTAATTTTTTTTTTAATATCATACTCCTAATGATTCAGGAGTTCTACTGAGACTGTTGCTTCTCTTGATACTATTTATAAGTTGACTTGAAGTGAGGTGAAGGTGATAGTTACAAGGGCAAATTTTGAAACTTATAAACTTGAGGTAGGTTAAAAACAGTAGAGACTGTAACAGGTTTGAAAGCCACCTTTTTTTTGTATCTAGTGCCATCGTGGTCAGTTTCTTTTAAACCATATTAGGAGAGTAACTTGAGATTATTATGCTCATTTGAGGTTACTTTTTCTAGAAACACAGGCACCTCATATTAGAATAAATAATTTATTTGTACCTCAGTTATCTTAAGTTAAATATTGTGTATTTTAGTGACCCTGTTTTCTGAAACATTTCATCTGTTCCCTAAGAACTCTCTGAATTATGTAAAGCATGTGGAGTCTAAGTTTTTCAGATTTATAAACTGAATCTCAGAGAGAACTTTGATGTGTTGCTCAAAATTAGAAACCAGTAATTCATACCCAGCTCTTTTTGATTCTAGGTTCATTTATGTTCCTACTAAGTTATCATACTTTATATAATGTAAATGTTTAATTATGTGATTATCTATGGGAATAATTTAAGAATGATGCATTCAACTTTTGATGAAAATTCTGCAGTGTGTTTCTCCTAGGAATACAAACCATGTTAGATACAATTATCATCTTTCATAATTTGAATTGATAGCTTCTTAAAGACATGTTGGCATATGATACTTTTGGTACAGGTATACTCATGGAGAAATATGTTAGATATTTGATGCATGACTGTTGCTACATCAGCAGTACCAGGGCATGCTCTAGAAGAAAAGTTGTGTCTGAGAATGGGATTCAGGGACTTTAAGTATTATAAAGTTGTCTTAGAATTTGGGGTCTATTTCTATGAGGGGTTCTACTGATGAAATTAAAGATCATCAAAAAGACTTCCTCCTCCTCCTCAAAAAAAAAAAAAAAAAAAAAAAAAACACTTAAATGTTCCTTGAAAAAAATTTTTGACAGTATTCTGGTTTTGTCAATGTTGTATCTCATATAGGGAATATAGAAAAGCTGGTTAAATAAAGATTGTATTTTGTATTAGTGATAATTGGGTTTTTTTAAGTTTTATTTAATGAGATGAAAAATTCTTAATGACAAGGAATTTATTAGTATTTTAGTAATCAGAGTTTCTTTTTAAATGTGATTCTAATATCTCAATATCAATGACCTTTCCAGGAATATTTAGTGACATTCATTTGCTGGCTATGATGTACAGTGGAGAAATGTGCTACTGGGGTTTGAAATATTGTGCAGATCAGCAACCAGATAATCATGAAGTAGATACTGGTATTCCTGGAGCCAGCTGCACTACAAACAAAGAACCACTGGATTTTCGAGAAGTAGGAGAAAAAATTTTGAAGAAGTATGTGTCTGTGTGTGAAGGACCCCTGAAAGAACAAGAGTGGAATACAACAAATGCAAAACAAATTTTAAACTTCTTCCAGCATCGCTGTACCTAGTAGCTCATGTAGTCCTTTTTAGTGAGGAAGACAAAAGACCTATGAAATGGATAAAAGGTTTAACAGAAAATAAGGCATATTGATACTAATTCTAAAAATATTACACTACATAAAGCTACCAAGTAGGTCACCTTTGTTAAAGTACTATCATCATCTTTCATTATATATTCTTAAGCCTATGTAGAAATAATTGTTTAATTTCTAAACTGGTGTATATATTATTCTATCTCTCTTTGAACTCTAGATATCCTGTCACTAGTAAGGAAAACCCATGTTAGCTTTAGTGTGGTTTGTTTTCCCCTAGTATGTTAGTTATTTTAAAATGTGATAAAGTTTATATAATACAAAATTTAAATTTCCTGTCCTGAAGTTTGCCATGTTTCAAGTATTAAAATCAGTTCATCTCATTTCTTTGATTACCTAATGATATAAATGTAGGCAAAAATGAAAAATTATGACTAATATTTAGACTTAATTTGTAATCATGTAAATAACAAAAGGCTCCTCAAAGGAATCATTTGTGTTTATTTTGCCATGTATTACTAGTCTTGTTTAAAATTTTTACTTTTAGATATTTTATAAAAATGTAAAAAATTATTTTCCTATTTTATTTAAAATACATGTTTTCTCAAGTAATGAAGATGAAAACCAACTTAAGTTAGTCCATATCCTATTATATGTTTTCATACTGTTTTGAAATTTTAATAGTTTTTGCTTTTAATAGTTGGTGAAATACTAAAGGTCAAGGAGCCTAACTTGATAACTTGCTCACTGTCTTTCTGTCTACCTCAACTCCTGCTGTTATCTTGGGCTGATGTGTTTGAAACCTTGCTATAATCTAGACTTCTGCCCAAATGACTTTATCACATCCCAGCAATCTCCTCCATGGGTATACCTTGGGCCCCAACTATCTTGAGTTAGACTTCTGAAATCTTCAGTTTGAGTAACTGATGGCAATTCTTACCCTACCAGCTTTTTTGTCTTTAAATTGATTGACTTAATTTTCTTTATTTTTTATTCTACAATGAGTGGCTTCTTCACAGCATTCTTAAGTGTTCCCCCTAGTACTACAGTGTCATCCTCTTTCAGATGCTTGTGCTTCCCTGAGTGCCCTCAGCTTCATGTAGGCATCATAGAAGCTGCTATTACCAGTTGCTCCCTCTCCTGTCTTACCCCTCAACCAACTCTTACGCCCTTGATATGAAATATATCCCCTTATTGACCTTTTCTAAGATAATTCATGTGAAGAGCATACAATCATTCACATTGAGACCACTAAAAGTGTCTCACTTCAGTTTTTGAAAAGCTATCACTAAAAGCCTTTGGTTTCTCACTAGGGTGGCCTTCATATCTTTTCCCACTGTAGCTGAGTCAGAAACTTACCTTTTTCAAACTCTCTCCCCTTCTCCCTACCATAGAGAAAGTTAAGGCTAGAAGGTCAACTAATATTAGCCACATTTACTCATTTTCCCCGTTTTAGAAAAAAAAGGTTATTTACTTCCCATTGAAAGCTAATGTATGCTACAAGACTTCATCTATGCTATTTCTTTCATTTCTTTTGTCACTTCTCATTTTGTGTTTACTTTTTTAATATGTTGATCTTTCCTAAAGTTCCGTTCTCTTCCTTTCATTTTTTTTCTCCTTTTATACTAAATCATCTTGTTATATCATTTATACCAGTTGCTTTTGCTGCCATCTATAAACCAGGCTGACTCAAACCAGTACTATAACCCAAGCCTCCCTCACATAGACAAACAGCCTGTGTAATTTTAAGTTTGGGGTATCAAAGCAAATTGTCATCTTCTATGCAGAATGTTTTATGCTTCATGTTTTTCTTATTTTTGGATCAACTGTAGAGCAGAAAATACAGAATGCCTGCCTTCCCAGTCCGCTGTCTACTATATGTTCCATTGCAGTGTTCCTCAAACAGTGAAAATGTAGGATCCTTTCTGGTAAAATTCTAAAAGCACCTTTGGGGCCAGAGCAAGCTCTCCTTATCCCTGCCCAGGGAGGAAGATCCCCGTGGCCTATCTTTACACAGTCAAAAAGTTTTTTATTCAGTTAGCATTCTAGCAGGTTGTGTTATGTAAATAACTTTGTTTCCTAAGTATAAAGATCTAATTATTTTTAATGTGGTTTTCAAAAGCACAGACTGTCTTTCACTTTGGAGAATGTGGTCAAGTTCTTCCAGTTCCTTTCTCAAATGTACTTGTATTTTTTTCAGCCTCACTATTGTTTTAGGCATCCTTACTTCTGTGCCCTTCTTTGTGGCCAAATGAATACATACTTATCTTTTAGGGTGTAAGTTAAGGAACACTGTGTCCAAAGGTTGTTTTTTTTTTTTTTTTTTAGCTCTTTCTACACAAAATTAGATGTTCCTTTGTTGTTTCCTCACTCTTCTTTTCCCAGTTAACAAACTTAACCATATTGCTTTATCATGAAAGCCATATTTAAAACATTTACCTTTATAGTGTTCAGTGCAAGATAGATCCTCATTGTTTTCTTTTAATGAGGCATGATTCTAAGTGCCAACCTGCACAAAAGGGTTACTGTTACTAGATTTCAAACTGCCATGCCCTGTACACTAGTGGCTAACAAGGCAAACAGTCATAGTCCTTACAGAAGTAAAGTGTTACTAGTTTCTGAACCTGTGGAAGCAAGAGAATTTTATCTTCACAACTAAGAGGTTCCATTTGTCAATTTGCTGGTTAGTACAGTTGTGTGGGTATTACTAGGTACTTTTGTATAACTTTCCATCCTGGATTCAATTGGAGAATAACTTGTAGATCATAAATTATAGACCATGAATGCTTTTTATTCTGATATATTATAAACATATTTCTGTATATGTGAAAGCTAGTTAAATTCTATTTCATTTAGAATGAAATAACTTCAATTTACCAAACACTCCACAAGTACATTCATTTATTCAGTTAACTGTTGTGTGCCTATTACATGTCGTATTGTTTTGAGTACTGAATATACGGTTTTAAACACACTCCTTTTTTCAGAGCTTGTATTCTAGTGGAGAAAGTTAGACAAAGGGTTTTAAGAAATAACTATATAGCATGTTAAGTGGTGAGTACTGTAAAAAATACAGCGGGGTAAGGGTTGAATGTGACTTGGCTATGGGTGCTATTTTATTTAAAATGGTTGGGAAGGCACCTCTAATCACTTGTCTGTTGCTTTACCATTTGTGTCTTCAAATCCTACCCTGTTGGCCAAATGCCTTGTATATTTAGTACATTTATAGTTACTCTTTCATATGGATATTCTGATAATAAAGAATAAGTAACTACTTATGACCTTTTTGTTATATTTAAGAGATTGCTCTTCAACATGGGCTTTACTGATGGTTATTACATAAATACTTTGTTGCAGTTTTACACTTGAAATTTCTCCTCAGTTTATATTCCCTGATGGCTTCTAAAATTTGAACTTTGTTACATGATTTCTCACAAATCTTAAACTTGTATTATTTTCCCAGTGTGAGTTTTCTGATATCAACTGGGCTTTTTAAGACTTACTGAAAGTCCTATTTTCCTACATTTGTAAGATTTCTGACCTCGTGAGTTCATTGATGCTGATTAAATTGCAAATCACAACTTTTTGCTTATTCCTTTGCATATAGCACACCAATGTGAGAGGCCTGGCTAGAACCTACTGTAAAATTACATTCCTACCTAACAGTCTCCTGGGAGTTCTCTGATACTCATTACAGTGTGACATTCCTGGATTCATTTTAATGGCATTTTAAACAACGCACAGGTGACTAATGTGCTAGTTTTAGATTGTCTCTTTCTCCTCTCTCTAAAGCCTGTTTTTGGGTTCTAGTAAGTATAACCCTATCTGCCACAAAATTTGTATTACAAATTTTGTTGTCCTGTGTTATCAGTTCTCTGTGTGTCTTTTTAACACAACATGGGATACCATATAATAGAAGTATTACATTAAGAAGATACATTTAATACAGCCATAATAAAAAATGCATTATGTATTTATATTACAGGTTTTGTTTTTCATACTTCTAGTGAAAATTTCTAGTAAAATGTTTCGGAGTATATAATTTTTTAAAAATAAAATCATATTCCTTTACCTGTTTCTGGATTTGCTTTTCTTTTTTGGTATCAGAATGAAAGCCTTTATCATATCTGTTTATTCTAATTTCTAAATGTTACTTCTGTTTCTAATAATTTTCATAAGGTAGCATAATAGATAGGATTGTAGTACGTTCTAGAGACAGAAGGCCCAAATTTAAGTCAGAGCTCTGCCATTTTTTAACTGTAACTCCATGTAAGCTATTTAATCTTAGTCTTTATAGCCCTAATACCCTCTTTATAAAACACAGGAACATTAATATTATCTGTCTGATATGATTCTGAAGATTAAATATTAAGTGCTTTACTTCAGTGCCTAGCAATTGTGAAAGCACTAGAGTTAGTTATTATTTTCCTGAGTGTCTGAAATTCTGCATTGAAGTGTACCTCTTTCCATATCCAAAATTAGAGTGCCCAGCAGCCAGAAGTGCATAACAAACTTGTTGCCCAGTGAGTGCTTTTCCTTTGTTCTAAAAATAGAGTGTTATAAACCTTGGTAACATACACAGGATTGAGTAGTGTGTAGCTGTAGAGTACAAGTGAAATAGAAGGCAAAACGTTATCGGGTATGCTATTTATGAAAAGAGATATAAACTTATTTTTTGATACATTTTAGATATACACAATGATGATACTCATTACAGGAAATTTTTACCCATACATGATATGTTTTGATTCCTCGTTTTTTCCCAATCCCCTCTCTTTAATTTGTGTTCCCCTTCCTAAACAAAGCTTTACTTTTATTTTTACGAAGCAAGCAATGGAATGATGACCAAAAGGTAAAGTAATGATCTATAGTGGGGAAGAGAGAAGAACCAGATGGGAACGATCCAGGTGGGAGCTCAGTCCTAAATATATGTTGAACTTTGTACAGTTGGACTTTGGAACCATGTACATGCATTGTAAGTTTAAATCATAATATGAAGCTCAAAAAAATGTACTGAATTACATATCAAGTTCATGACAATTAGGCAAAAATGTTTATCTTTGAAGCCAAGTAGTTTGTTTGTATACCTTTTTTAAAGATAGACCTAAGGGCAACAAGTTGTATAATTTTTTTTGTATTTTTAGGGAAGGGTCTATAGGGTGCTCAGATTGGTGTACTAGATCGGACTCGTAGTGATCTGCGTGTTTACAGCCTCCCAAGAGTTGGGATTACAGGCATGTACTGCTATGCCTAGTCTCAATTGCAGTCTCAGCGCGCTGAGCTATTTGGCCGGCCCCAAGATCTGCAATTTTAAACTCAGTAATTATTGGTAACTGTAAAGTTCACATTAACTTAAAGATAGGTAGGTAGATAGGGAGGGAGGGAGGTTTCACTGTGCAGATCAACTGGCCTCTAACAGTGCTTTCCTTGTCTCAGCCTCCCAAGTACTGGGATCACAGTCATGTGCCACCATGCCTGGCTTAAAATATTTTAAGCAACAGAGATCTAGTTTTGGGACATGCATAGTGTTCTTTGGATATTTGAAAATGGCATTATTTTCTCTCCTACCTGTAGGAACTATAACTCAGTTCTATATCATAGATTACCTTGCAATGGACTGTGTATAGTATAGGTTTTTTTTTTTTTTTTAGAAACTTTAAAACTAAAACCAGAGTGAGCAGAATGGGCCTTGGTTTTGAGAAATTTACTAGAGGCAATCATTACTTCACTTAGGTTTTCTTTTATTTGCTTTTGTTTTTTTCTGCCCTTTTATGAGGTTATAACATTGTGAAATTTTTTAAATGTAGTTACATTTTTGTATAGTGGGCCCAGATTCCTGAGTTTTGTATATGATCTCTTATGATTGGACTTATGTTATAAAAATAACAATTTTGTTTTAAGGAAATAGTTTATCTGGAGTCAAATATGAACGATTTTATTCTGGGAGTATGTGTTCCACCATATAAAAGGGTACATGAACTTCCATGGCCACAGAAGAAAGGCCATAGGTCGAATACTTGTGCCTAGTTACTGGCAGGGTGCTAGGTAGATGCACTGTAAACAGTGGAAGAGCTTTTTGTACAGGTGTCAGGTGTTACAGCGTTCTTAGCTTTAGGATTCTGAAGGGTGGAAGACTGCTAAGTTTAGTAATGTATTTCAAGAGTTTTACCTAATAGCCACAACGATGTTAGTTAGGTCATGTCCTGAAGTTGAAAGTAAATGGTTATTCAAGGGACTAAGCTCAAGATAATTCTGGCTGTCCCCTATGACTGTGACAGTCATCAGGATCAGTGTATGGGTCAGGCAAGTTGGGCTGCTGCTGCTACCTTGAGTTCCACAATTCTTGGGTCTCACTCGAATTTCAAGTTTTGCCAATCATAAGAATGAACAGAAAATCAGTAACCTAATGCACACAAAGAAACAATTATTTAACCCAAGTAATAGAAGAGGGCCATCTGCCGGCTAAACGGGAGGCTAAAAGTGAGCATACGGGGGCTGGCGGGTGAACCGCAGGTCCGGAGGGCGGTGGCTTCTTGGCTGTGGGCAGAGAGCGAGGCCCAAGGTGGGTACGCCCGCGAGGCGCGGCGCGGGCCCGGGACACAGGCGGGGGCGGGAGGGCG